GCTAAGATTTTGGGAAAATGCAACTATCTATATTGCTGGTTATTGCCATAACTATATTTTATTTCTTTATTTCACATCTGTATTTTTCTTGGTATACTGATATTTTTCATGAAGCTATCTATGTAAATCATCTGCAAGGAGAGTTTGAAAGTAGGTCACAACTTCATAAATTAGCTATATCATGAAATAAATAATGTACAGCTTTCAGAAGCATTCGTTTAGCAAAACACACAAAAGAAAAAATATGTAACACATGAGGTGTTTAAAAATTAATTGGATTAAACTGTAAATAAACAGGGTATACAGATCATGATTTCTCAGTACATGAGAACTGGCTTTGAATCTGCAACATTGTAAACCAAATTATGCTGATAAATGCCTTCACATCCTCATACAATACTCAATTATCTTCTGTGGAATGGATGTTGAAGTTTTCAGAAAACAGACTACTGTACTTAACATGACCCATCAGTGTAGTGCACAAAAGTACATGTTCAATAACTACTGGCAAAAATGCACACAAACATTTTAGTAAACACAGGGATAAAAACATAGGAAACACAGTTAATTTACCATGAAAAATTTGAGGGTAACACTAGGTACAATTGTTACATCATGCATTCACAGTTAAAAATAAAAGCCCATTTATTAATTTGTGCATCCAGTACATATTAAGCAATTAAAATACAGTATGATGTTAATGAAAACCTATATAGCAAATCAATTACCTTTCAAATGTAATATCTTTTAAACTTGCAATTTTTAATGTTTTTGGGTGGTGTTCATGAGTGCAGAAAATATTCTCAGTGCTCTGAAGTCACTAATCTCAACACCTTCAAGAAACTTAACAGTGCCAAAATTTCAGTGAAGAATACCTCATACTAGTTTTGCTATCAATTTCAACAGATTATCATTTACACTAAAAATTTGGAATGTGAAAAAGGAGAATATTGTTTAACCCTTAAACTGTCCAAACGGATTTACGTTCACATTCGTAGTGCTCCAAAAGTAGATCTTCGTTTTTTTTTACATATTTTCAAATAAAAAAAAAAAAAAAAAAATTACATTTTTTTTTTTACATACTTTCAAATGTTGAAAAAAACGTAGATCTACGTTTGGACAGTTTAAGGGTTAAACAAAGTAATGAAAAAAAGGAAGTGAAACAGGAATATGATGCAAAACAGATGAATCCGAGTCAGTATAAAAAAATATAGTAAATCTATGGGAGGTCTGAAAACAAGTATAAAGCCACCCAATAAGCTGCAGTTCAACAGTGAAAAGGCATTTCCCAACTGAAATGCTTTTGAAGATAACCAATAGTAATACATTCTTTCAAAAAAAGGTGCCTTTTAATGTACAGGATCCTGCCCATACCAATCAAATTTGGTCAGGCACTCTTGGCCAGCAAGAAATTCCTTCAAAAATTATTTTATTCAAAAAATAATTTGTTTGGCAAAACTTGTAAAAATTTTCATTTAAATTTCATCTCCTAACAAATGGGAAATTGATCTTTGTTCCAATCAATACAGTCTTTCAACCCACTCCTTCCCCTCATGCCAAAAATCCAGAACTAAGTAGAACCCTGCATTTTTTGGCTAAATTATTTTGAATGCCACATTATGTATACTGGTACACAAGTATATTCATGGACTTTGAATAATTAGTAAGAAAAATTCTTTAGTGAGGTGCTTTATAATTGTACATGGGATTCAACAACATAATTATTACAAATTTACATTTAACAAAACTGGGAAGACTTTTTTTTTTTTTTTCCTTTTAACTTACCATTAATTTATTGTTTTTTAAACAAGACTCTCTGGTATGGTAAGCAAGATTATATTATTATTATTATTATAATCAAAAAGAAGCGCTAAGCCACAAGGGCTATACAGCAAGCAAGATTATAAAGTCAAGTGTATCACAATTACAATTTTTAAACAAGAGTACCGATTCCCCCACCCCATTTCCCTTCCCTTAAAAAAAAAAATATCAGAGGAACATTGAGAAGTATGGCATCATAAAGCATTGCCTCTGAAACTAGTGATATATGGTACCTTGGAATTGTAAAAAATCAATAATCCAAAAGTAGTGAACATGGGGTTATATATACATCAATATAATTATAACACAATCATAACTCAATGTTACTCAAATACATGTGGCTAAACACACACTCATAACTCCATTTCTCAGATTAATAGTGATAGAATTCTTCACCATGGTATTCACCCTATTATGGCACTCTCTTCCTCAAGTCCTACTAAAACTGAGTCACTATAGTTATGTAATCTACATAGTAAATTTATAACAAAGAAAAATAGGAAGTAATACACAAATTATAGGAACTACTGATAACTAAAAAAACTCTTTTTAAATAAAAAATCAAGTCACATGGCACAGGCATCTCAAAGTACTTGTGAGCAGTCACATATAAGCTACTTTTACCCCTCAAGGAAGGTTCCTTGATGCTGGTGAGGGGCTCTTGATCTAGGGAATTGGATCTGTGCTCCAGTTCCCTGAATTAAGCCTGAATACCTTCCACATCCCCCCCCCCACAGGCGATGTATACTCCTATGGGTTTAGCGCTTCCCATTGATTATAATAATAAGCTACTTTTAAACTATGTCCTGAAGCTGATTTCAGTATACAAAGTTTCATAAGCAGTATTCTTCAAGTGCTATTTAACCAATTACTAAATTTTATTAAATTTTTAAGTACAAAATAAAGAATTTTTAAGTAAAACCTCAATATAACTGATCCCTACACAGTTAATCTCAGAGGTAACAGACAAAATATTTGGCTGGATAAATGTTTGATGCTACGGACCAAGGCTGCTGTATCGATATCTTGTTCCATAGCGGTAGTGTCAGACAAGATCCCCGTACAATGGACCAAATCCATTACACTGAAATTTTGTCCATTAGCTTTAGTATGCGTGTTTGGTAGCTCCCTATAAAATGGATTAAGTCTGCTACATTGAGATTTTTGTCCATTAACTTTATTGTGCATTTTTGGTAGACTATACAATGGACTATGTCCATTGGATTAGGCACTTCGATGCAATAGACTGTCGATTACACAGACACTTCTTCCCCATTATTCAGTTATACCAAGGTTTAACTATACTTTTGATTCATAGAGATGATGCATTATTCTTTTCAAAATATTAAAAAAAAAAAAAAAAAATTAACTAGATGCATACTGGACAAAGTTAAGCTGTATCTTTTGCTCTCTTGACTTACCTAAATTACAATAAAATATACTTCATTTTTCCATTAATTTTGAAATACTAAATTCTATACTTTGCAGGTCTTATGGCTAAGACTGATACCATAAAAAAGAAAATATATTGCCCTGCCCTTTCCCATACACTAATGACATGGCTGTGGTTTCCTCGTAATTCTATACTCAGTAATGAAACATTAAATTCATTGTCAACTTTGAAAACGAGGCACGGGTAAAATTCTTAGCTCTACTTCAACTCTGACTACTGATCTTAATATATATGCATAATTGTGACATGGTAAATTCACAATTAACAGCTGACTGATACAGCCAGACAAATTAGGGTTCTGTTTAGTTACTGCACTCAAGTCAATCACTACATTTCACAGGCACTAACATAACCTACCTCTATATATCTAAGTCCAATACACAAGTTTCTGCATCCACCAAAAAAAAATGGGCCATACAAGGTCCTGTAACTCTATTCACTTTACAGCTCCTAAAGAGTGTCATACCTATGTGATGAAGTAATATAACTGTACTTAATTACTAAGGCTAAAGAATGGGTATGTTAGGACAAAAAAAAATTTTTCATTGCTGGGAAGGAGGGAAATGACACATTAGTAAATTGTTTTCTTTGGAAACTACCTGATTTTTATGAGCAATATGCTTCCTTGACATGTTCAGATGTTGCTACCAGCCACAATGTGTAATCACTAACTTTAGCATAATATGCATTATGAAAATGCAAATAAACTTAAGTGACATCAGATAAAGCATTTAATGTATAGCTTGATAATGAAGTTTAAATTAGTATGTAAAGTGACTTGAGTTCACCAACTAAACTCACCCCCCTAAGTCCTACTAAACAGACACTTCATGAATGCCAGTTTCGTACAACTTACAAGCTCCATTTTGAAATCTTATGTTATTACAAAAGTGTCATCCTTTAAGGATAACAAGTCAAGTGAACACATAAGAGAGAACAAGAGTATATTCTCAGATCATTATGAGATTGCTAAAACATTTACAAATCTTCAAATCTGCATAATAGCTCGGTCCTTTATTTAATAATGAAACAATGCTAGTTCCAAGAATTTTCTTCTACTAACTAGAACTTTCCCTGGTGATGGAGTTTTATGATGACCACTCAATTTCAGCTATACTGCACAAAGTTCACCAATTTTATGGTTTTGTCATGCACCAATTAATTGTCGTACTTGAACTGCACCACAATGAAAATTTGTGCTTTCAGTGTTGCAAATAATTTCACTATAATTTAGAATATTTCATGTGTCACAAAGAATGAAACATGTCAATCAGTGCCATAATTACCCTTAACCCAGATATGTAAGTTTAATTCCTTAAAATATTTTCTTTTGATTTATGTTAACACTCTGCCTTGATTATATACAGTGCCTACACTCAGGAGGAAGGGTAGGGATATTGCAGTTTGGGGGGGCTTCTGAGCTGTATTGTTGCCATGCCTCTGGCAAGGCAATGATTTGTGAGTGATGGTGAAAGTGTTTCTTCTTTTTAGAGTCACCCTACCTCAGTGGGAGATGGCCAGTGTGTTAAAAACATCCACTCGCTCTCACACACTATTTATTACACACGTTTAGTGCGCACATGCATGAACATACAAATGACAGAAGCAAAGGCCAAATCTGAAAAAACTGCTTTACAGCTACAACAAAAGATCAAGTAGTTTGGAGGATGAAGAGCAGCTGATGAAAAATGACTAAGTCTGTGAAGTGTAATTAAATTATCTGAAGAGGTATTAATGAAAATGGAGTATATCGAAAAGCCTAGGGAACGGGGTACACAGGCAAGAAAATATACGCCACACACAACAGGGCAAGAAACTCTTAGTGAACTTGGATACATCAAAGGCAATGGGATCTGACAAGCTGTTACCATGAATTCTCTAAGAGGGAGCATAAGCACTGATTGAACCACTAGCTAAGACCCACAAGTCAATGGATATTGGACAGTTGCCAGAGATCTAAAAAACAGTGAATGTAGTCCCTGTATTTAAGGATTATTATAATAAAAAAAGAAGCGCTAAACCTACTAGGGTCATACAGCGCTGCAGGGCAAGAATTGATGCAGAATCAAAGGATAAGTAAGGGTGGAGAGGAGGACAAAGGTAAAGTTAGGAAGGGCTGTGAGGAGTGCTAATGGAAGGATATCAAAGTTTGATAATAAATCAGTTGATGTGTCAAAGGTGGGCCTATCAGCAAGGAGAGAAGATAAAGGTGTTATAGTGGTGACAATGCCAGAGTATTTAAGGAGATGGACAGTTTAAGGATGGCAAATCTGGTCTTACCAGCTGGAGTTTCATCATAGTACAGATGTGAGACAAGGGAGGGAGAGAGGGGTGGGTGGATTGTTTTTCTTTGATTGCAAGATGGCATTTTATATTGTACCCCAGAAGAGGATGGGCCAAAAACTTGGTATAAGCAGGAAAAAACCAGTGTATACACAAATAACCCATATACAGGAGACAAACTTGACATTTCGGTCTTACCTGGACCATAAACTAATCACACAGAAGCACAAGGGGAAGGGAGCCAGAATATGTACAAGAAGGGGGCAGGAATGGGAGCAGAATATGTGGTGGAGGTGGTAGAAAAAGTAATGCAACAATGAGTGAGGTGCCAATAAGAAGGTGGTGGTGGTGAAAGTCATAGTGGAGTGTTAGCAAAGAAATAGTAATAGTGAAACATACTCTGGTGGATTAAAGAGTACTCTAGGGGAAGGAAGCAAAGAGTGATCCTCAGAGAAGATGTAATGTGGAAGAATAACTTAGGTTTCATAAGGATTGGTATTAGGACCATTACCGCTCTGGTGGCCTGGTGGTTAACGCTCTCGCTTCACACGGCGAGGGCCTTGGTTCGATTCCCAGCCAGAGTAGAAACGTTGGACGTGTTTCTTTCAACCTGTTGTCTATGTTCCCCATCAGTAAAATGGGTACCTGGGTGTTAGTCGACTGGTGTGGGTCGCATCCTGGGACACTGACCTAAGGAGGCCTGGTCACAGACCGGGCCGCGGGGGCGTTGACCCCCGGAACTCTCTCCAGGTAACCGTTTCTGGTTTGTGAATGACATTACAGATAGGATTGAATCAATGTATCCATATTTGCTGATGCAAAACTAAGAAGAACTAAGATGAGACAGGGAAGGCTCCAAATAAATTTGGACAATTGGCAAGATTAGTCAGGTAAGTGGATGCTTGAATTCACTCGGCAAATGCAAGGTTATGTAGTTTGGGGAAGGGGGCAAGAAGACTGAACATGAAGTAGTATAGATTTTGGGGACAGAGGCAGAGCATAGTACCTGGTACATCACCAGAGGATTGCATCAACTGAATAACCTTTACAGCCAATGACTGTCTGGCAAACCTAGAGTAACCTTCAGGAATCTTGACAAAGTCATTCTGGGCCAGCATGGAACCCGCACCTGAAAAAGCAAGTGTAGTGCAAGGATATGCAACGAGACTAGTTGCAAATCTACAAGGAAAGACTACTGGAATTGTATCTAATGACACTAGAGGACAGAGGAACCAGGAGAGGTATGATAACAATATACAAAATACTCAAAGGAATTGATAGGGCAGATAAGGATAGACTGAGAATAAACAGGCACTCTGGGGTACAGATAGATACACAGTTGAGTTACAGCAATGTCAGGACACATTTCTTCAGTCTCGGAGTAGTCAGGAAATGGAATGACTGAAAGTATTAATGGAGGCAGCCTCAATACATATTTTTAAGAGTGGGTACAATAGGGCCTACAAGGCTAGGGGAGTGAATCTGACATGTGGCAAATTGAAAGGAGGGGCCAGGAGATATGGCTTAACCCCCTACAACCATATATGTTTTGAGTACACATACGCGCATACACGCACTTTTTAAATTGTCATATGCCACTGAAAATTTTGCTCCATATACACCAAACTATGTATTGTACTCAGACATGTATATGTATAAATTACATGCATACAGTAAATACACACATTTCATACTCTACATGTTATGTGCCATTTTGGAGACAAACTGTGTATGCACTAAGACAATTGGTCACTATAAATTCAACAAACTATTAAGAGTTTGTCTTAAATAATCCATATTCTGGTTATATACTATAGTACATGACACAAACAATGGCACTAAACAGAGAAACTGCCAACAGACTGGGTAATGGATAATCAAGGCACTCCTGCACATTTTTCACACCTTATTCCTGAAGAGTGACACAATATCAACAATTATGGCAATGGTAAGACAAGCTGAATCTCTTTGTACCCTGCCAACTTCACATCCATAATAAGCAGATCAGCTCCTGTAATGAATGACAGAAGATCCTGCCAAAATTAGGCTCAAAGCTGGCATTACACTTGCAAGAAGTCATATTTGCAGTCCTATTTAGTAAGCCCTCATTACTAATGGTTCTTGGCTGCTTCTTTTGCTGCTACAATAAGAGGGTGGAGACTTGAGAGGGGTCGAGCCAGCTTCAAAAATGGGTGCTGAAAGTATACAAAATAGTAAATATTAAAGTTCTTTGAAAATTTATATACAGTATATAGTACAGAAACTGAGTAATTTTCAAAGGGTACTACCATTTCCTCCAAAAATTATTTTATTTGGTTATACTCTCAGTGGTCTGCTACATGTCCTTCACTTTTACACTACCCTTTCATTTAACACCTTATTTTTTTTTCCAATTGTCTGCATTTGTTACTTTTCTGTTTTTACCTGCCAGAAATCAGAATATAATTTGATAAGCGTATCCATTTCACAATTAATGGACAGAGAATAGATCCTACACTAATGATGTAGCTATCAATCTTCTCTAATCCAGCAAAATACCCACCTGGCACCCCAAACTTACCTACCACACCCTCTCTAAAAGTTTCTCCTACTTTAGCATTCAGGTCCCCTACCACAATTACTCTCTCACTTGGTTCAAAGGCTCCTATACATTCACTTAACATCTCCCAAAATCTCTCTCTCTCCTCTGCATTCCTCTCTTCTCCAGGTGCATACACGCTTATTATGACCCACTTCTCGCATCCAACCTTTACTTTAATCCACATAATTCTTGAATTTACACATTCATATCTCTTTTTCTCCTTCCATAACTGATCATTCAACATTACTGCTACCCTTCCTTTGCTCTAACTCTCTCAGATACTCCAGATTTAATCCCATTTATTTCCCCCCACCGAAACTCCCCTACCCCCTTCAGCTTTGTTTCGCTTAGGACCAGGACATCCAACTTCTTTTCATTCATAACATCAGCAATCATCTGTTTCTTGTCATCTGCACTACATCCACGCACATTCAAGCATCCCAGTTTTATAAAGTTTTTTCTTCTTCTCTTTTTTAGTAAATGTCTACAGAGAAGGGGTTACTAGCCCATTGCTCCCGGCATTTTAGTCGCCTCATACGACACGCATGGCTTACGGAGGAAAGATTCTTTTCCACTTCCCCATGGACAATAGAAGAAATAAAGAAGAACAAGAGCTATGTAGAAAAAGGAGAAAAACCTAGATGTATGTATATATATATGCATGTGCATGTCTGTGAAGTGTGACCAAAGTGTAAGTTGGAGTAGCAAGATATCCCTGTTATCTAGCGTGTTTATGAGACAGAAAAAGACACCAGCAATCCTACCATCATGCAAAACAGTTACAGGTTTCTGTTTCACAGTCATCTGGCAGGACGGTAGTACTTCCCTGGGTGGTTGCTGTCTACCAACCTACTACCTATAGAGGAATAAGTTTACTGAGTATACCAGGGAAAGTGTACCATAGGGTTATTATTGAAAGAATTAGAGGCAAGACAGAATGTAGAATTGCAGATGAGCAAGGTGGTTTTAGAGTGGGTAGGGGATGTGTAGATCAAGTGTTTACATTGAAGCATATATGTGAGCAGTATTTACATAAAGGTAGGGAAGTTTTCATTATATTCATGGATTTAGAAAAGGCATATGATAGTGGATAGGGGAGCAATGTGGCAGATGTTGCAAATATATGGAATAGGTGGTAAGTTACTAAATGCTGTAAAGAGTTTTTATGAGGATAGTGAGGCTCAGGTTAGGGTGTGTAGAAGAGAGGGAGACTACTTCCCGGTAAAAGTAGGTCTTAGGGATGTGTAATGTCACCAAGGTTGTTTAATATATTTATAGATGGCAGTTTGGAGGATATATTGTGTATCTTTATACGTATATGCTTCTAAACCGTTGTATTCTGAGCACCTCTGCAAAAACAGTGATAATGTGTGAGTGTTGTGAAAGTTTCGATTGATGAAAGTATTTTCTTTTTGGGGATTTTCTTTCTTTTTTGGGTCACCCTGCCTCGGTGGGAGACGGCCGACTTGTTAAAAAAAAAAATGGGGTTGTAAAAGCAGTAAATGATAGGGTGTTCGGGAAAGGGGTGGGATTAAATGATGGGGAATTAAATACAAAATGGGAAGTGACACAGTTACTTTTTGCTGATGATACTGTGCTTATGGGAGATTCTAAAGAAAAATTGCAAAGGTTAGTGGACGAATTTGGGAATGTGTGTAAAGGTAGAAAGTTGAAAGTGAACATAGAAAAGAGTAAGGTGATGAGAGTATCAAATGATTCAGATAAAGAAAAATTGGATATCAAATTGGGGAGGAGGAGTATGGAAGAAGTGAATGTTTTCAGATATTTGGGAGTTGACGTGTCAGCGGATGGAATTATGAAGGATGAGGAAAAAAGGTGAGTGGTACATTGAGGTATATGTGGAAGCAAAAAATGTTATCTATGGAGGCAAAGAAAGGAATGTATGAAAGTATAGTAGTACCAACACTCGTATATGGGTGTGAAGCTTGGGTTGTAAATGCTGCAGCAAGGAGGCGGTTGGAGGCAGTGGAGATGTCCTGTCTAAGAGCAATGTGTGGTGTAAATATTATGCAGAAAATTTGGAGTGTGGAGTTAATAAAAGTATTAGTCAGAGGGCTGAAGAGGGTGTGTTGAGGTGGTTTGGCCATTTAGAGAGAATGGATAAAAGTAGAATGACATGGAGAGCGTATAAATCTGTAGGGGAAGGAAGGAGGGGTAAGGGTCATCCTCGAAAAGGTTGGAGGGAGGGGGTAAAGGAGGTTTTGTGGGCGAGGGGCTTGGACTTCCAGCAAGCATGCATGAGCATGTTAGATAGGAGTGAATGGTATTTGGGACCTGACGAGCTGTTGGAGTGTGAGCAGGTTAATATTTAGTGAAGGGATTCAGGGAAACCGGTTATTTTTATAAAGCCGGACTTGAGTCCTGGAAATATGAAGTACAATGCCTGCACTTTAAAGGAGGGGTTAAGATATTGAAAGTTTGGAGGGATATATTGTATATCTTTATACGTATATACTTCTAATCTGTTGTGTTCTGGGCACCTCTGCAAAAACAGTGATTATGTTGTATGAGTGAGGTGAAAGTGTTGAATGATGAAAGTATTTTCTTTTTGGGGATTTTCTTTCTTTTTGGGTCACCCTGCCTCGGTGGGAGACAGCCGACTTGTTTAAAAAAAAAAAAACTACCTATACCATACCATATCCTATAATGGACACTGCTATTGTGATCACTAGTTTTGAACACAATGAAACAAAAGAATTTTACACCAAACCTTTAGAAGTTGGTGGGCAGTGGACCGCCTTTCGACTTCAACATCCAAACATTGGTCAAGAAAATCCTGAAAAACATGAGACAGCTTCTCTCGTTCCTTAATCTCTGGCTTCCCATTCGTTGCAATCAGGTACAGTGCTCTGAGTGGGTTCTCATTCAAATAAGGTGGCTCTCCTGACAAGAAAAAAAAAATTAGGGTATACATGCAGTACATGAAACTTGCAAAAATCATAGTTTGTTAATCTCCATGGTATTACTTCTACTAGAATTCTTTCATCATGGTTAATTTTCAGTATTAATGTCACTAGCTTAACTAATGAAGTCCTTAGTGTTCATGGATGATGAATATTGTACCTTCTATCATTTCTATAGCCATTATACCCAATGACCATACATCAACTTTAGGACCATACTGTTTCCGTGTCACCACTTCAGGGGCCATCCAGTAAGGTGTACCCACCATTGTTGTTCTTTTATTCTGTTCAGGAGATATTTGTGCACAGAAGCCAAAATCAGCTGTGGAAAGAAAAGGATTTTTCAGCACACTTAGGTTTTAGTACAAATAACATCGGTGAATGTTACATTTGTCAAATGAAACTTAATAAAACTAAGTCTGAAAAACTTAAAGAATACTCAGGAAGAACTGGTAGGGTAAGAGGAGAGAAATGGAAACCCAAAGACACAGCTGGACATTATGCATACGAGCCACAAGGATGTCAGGAAGTATTTCTTCAGTCTGTGTGGTCAAGAAGTGTAATGATCCCAGAGAGGAAGTGGCAGTGGCAGGAGCCATACATAGTTTCAAGAGCAAGTCTGAATATTCTACTTTTAAACAAAAATGTTTGAATTTTACTTTTGATTCTTCAACATTTGTCAGTGTGGGGATGGCTAATATGTATATAATCTTTCCAAATGTAAATTAAATTTCACTTTAGACATGATCCAAACAACCCTTATAAAGCATTTCCAAGAATCTTAAGCATTAATTAACTATGACATTAGCATAACAGGTACTAATTACTTTACTCCATTTAGACTAATAAAGCAAACACATGTAAGAAAGAGATGAACTTGAAAGAACTCAACAAACCTTTGAAAACAATATTAATTTTAATATAAAATAAGGATTACGAAATTGAAAGAAAGTGTTCATGTAGACTTACTTAGTTTGACACTGCCATCCATTCCTAGCAAGATATTATCTGATTTTATGTCACGATGTATAACTTGGCTAAGATGAAGGAATTCAAGAGCTTGTAGTACCTCCCTGTAATGAGAAAATGCAGGAATGTATAAACTGATTACACTGGCCAAAAATATATCTCTTGGGACATGCAGATAAAAAGGCTAGTATAAGACGACTATAAGGTAATTTCAGCATTAATAATCTGAAACTGTTCTCATTTTTGTATGTGTGTAGCTTTGTAAAATAAAGTCCCACAGTTTTATAGGCAATTTCACAATTGTTATCTTTTTGGAGAGGAGGGCACGACAAATCATGATAAATCATGACTGATTTATCATGAAACTCTGAAGAAATTGTTTCTTTTAAATTAACTCACTGTCTCGTCTATATTACATGAGAATGCATCCTTGCATAAACATGGGCAGCCAACTACCGGTCAAACAGAAATCAAATTACATGAGAATCCCATGCATTCTTCTGTTCATTTACTGTAACTTATACAGCATTAGGTTTACAGACTACATGCCTTTGAGGGGCATAAGAATAGACATCCATAAAAGCTGTGGGGGCGTGGAATGAGACTGCAGTGTCACAATTGGTGGTGGATGACACAGCCATGTCCCAAAAGTGCTGGCTGTAAAACCATCCTTATTAGAATGTTTATCAGCAGTTTCCTACCAAGGTAGGGTGACCCATAATAAAAAAAAAATAAATAAATACTGCAGCATATGAGCACCTGGCAAACCTGAGAATAGCATTTCGACATCTAAGTAAAAAGTCATTCATGGCACTGTCCACCACGTACGTCAGACCCATATTGGAGGATGCAGTACCAATATGGAACCCACACCTGGTCAAACACGTCGAGAAATTGCTAAGGTTTGCAACAAGACTAGTCCCAGAGCTGAGGGGGCATGCCCTATGAGGAAAGGTTAAGGGAAATCAACCTGACAACAATGGAGGATAGGGGAAACATGACAACATATAAAACACTGAGAGGAACTGACAAGGTGGACAGGAACAGAACCTTCGATATACCTTTGAAGAGTTTTGAGAGTTTATCTACTCACTCAGCCCGGCCATGGGCCAGGCTCATCTGGTGCTTGCCTGGTCAACCAGGCTGTTGCTGCTAGAGTCCCACTCCCCCATATCCATCACAGCCTGGTCGATCTGGCACCTGGTGAGGATACTTGTTCAGTTTCCTCTTGAAGGCTTCTACACTTGTTCCAGCAATGTTTCTGATATCTTCTGGTAAGATGTTGAAAAGTCTGGGACCCTGGATGTTGATAGTGTTCCCTTATTGTCCCCACCGCACCCCTGCTCCTCACTGGGTTTATTTTACACTTCCTCCCATATCTCTCACTCCAGTATGTTATGGCAGTGTGCAGATTTGGGACCAAGCCCTCGAGTACCTTCCAGGTATATATTATCGTACCTCTCTCTCCTCTGCTCCAATGAGTACATGTTCAAGACTTGCAGGCATTCCCAGTAGTTTAGGTGCTTTACTGGCTCAATGTGAGCCACAAATGATCTCTGTATTTGTTCCAGCTCCGATATTTCTCCTGCCCTGAATGGGGCCATCAGCACTGAGCAATATTCTAAGTGAGGGAGCACTAGCGATTTGAAGTGTCACCATCGGCATTATTTCCTTTGTTTTGAAAGTTCTCAATACCCACCCCGTCATCTTCCTGGCTGTCATGATCTTTCTTGTTAGGGTCTTTAAAAGAAAGGTCCACTGACATAATTATTCCTAGGTGTTTTACGTGTTCCTTACGTTCTATTTGGTGACCCTCTTGAGTTTTGTATATAGTGCTCCTTTTGAGTTCTTCATTCTTTCCATACCTAAGCAGCTGGAACTTATCACCATTGAACATCATGTTGTTCTCCACTGCCCACTGGAAAACCTTGTTTATGTCTTCCTGTACTTTTTCAGTGTCCTCTACCGTACTGACTTTCATGCTTATTTTCATGTCATCTGCAAATGATGATACAAAAGTGTGCGGGGTGTTTTTGTGTGTGTATGCTATGAGGATGAGGAACAGCAGAGGTGCCAGTACAGTGCCTTGGGGCACTGAGCTTTCGACCTCGCTGATGCTGGATCTTGCCCTGTTCACTACTACTGTTTGTGTTGTGTGTGTTAGGAAACCGAAAATCCATCTGCCTACCTTCCCCGTAATGCCCATAGCCTTAGTTTCATGCGCTATCACTCCATGATCGCATTTGTCAAACGCCTTTGCAAAATCTGTGTAAATCACGTCTGCGTTTTGGTCGTCTTCCAGTGCCTCCGTAATTCTGTCATAATGCTTAGCAGCTGTGACAGACATGATCGTCCTGCTCTAAAACCATGCTGGTTCGGGTTATGTTGGTTGTGCTTGTCCATGAAATTTGTAACTTGCCGTCTCATCACTCTTTCGAAGATTTTTATGTGAGAGGTTAGGGCTACTGGTCTGTAATTTTTAGCTAGTGATCTACTACCTCCTTTATGCAAAGGAGCTATATCTGCACTCTTTAAGAGATGAGACACAGCAACAAGAGTCACAGCTGGAAGCTGAAAACTCAGAAGAGTCACAGGGATATTAGAAAGTGTTTTTTCAGTCACAGAGTAGTCAGGAAGTGGAACATTCTGGAGAGTGATGTAATGGAGGCAGGATCCATACGTAGCCTTAAAAAGAGGTATGATAAGACTCATGAGGGAGGGCGAGAAAGGACCTAGTAGCGTAGACGCGGGGCCAGGAGCTATAACTCGACCCCTGCAACCACAAACAGGTGACACACATGTGCTCTCATTCTCTCATACATTCTCATTTGCATATTTTTTTATACCTGAAATCTATACAATGAATGAATCTATAACCTAAATATGAGAAAGCAAATCTGATTTATTCTGAATATGCTCATACCATGCTATGCATTTTCACAATGGCCTCCAAAGTGATGTAAATATAATGCAAAAAAATTGAACACTTCTCACCTGCAAACTGCAGCAATCTGTCCTTCATCCATGCATGTTTCTGTGACAACATCAGTAAGGGAACCACCAGGCAAATATTCCATAACTACCTGGAATTTATTTTAAAAAATCAACATAGGTATTAATGAAATGTACAGATAGGGATTAATTTGTTTTTCTTCAGAATTTTGCCTGAAATCAATAAAGCTCAACATGAAAACTTGTGTAGATAATTTTATTTTCATAAAACTTGATAACTGTAGTAACTGATTTAAGATTCCATAGTACAGTAAAATCCTATTACAATGTGACTTTCAGTAATGCAAATTTGTTGCAATGCAATTCAGAAACTGCAACCACAAATTTCAATGGCACACAAAAATCTTGGCGTTACATGCCACACAGCATGAAAGAATTGCTAACATGTGAAAGTTTGGCAATTGCTGCCATAGGTTTCCATAGCACAAAGTTACTAGTAAAATCTGGGCACTAAATGCCATGGGCATTTAGTGCCAATAGCACTAAGTTAGGCAACTGAGCCTAAGGCCCAGTTGCCTAACTTAGTGCCACCTACAGTTGTTTGTTGCAATTATGAATTTAGAATAAAAAGGATACGATAGGGTGGATAGGAAAGTCATGTGGCAAACATTGTAAATGTATGGAATAGGAGGTAAGTTACCAAAAGCAGTTTAAATTTTTATACAGTGAGGCTCAGGTTAGGGTATGCATGTTTCTTCTGCAATTAAATTTAAATACAAGTCTCATGTTCTACAATAAGGATGCATTCCCCTTCAAGAGGGAATTATTGATGCTGGTGAAGGACTCTTGATTGAGGGATTTTGAACTCTACTCTTTGGATCAAAGCTGATTTCCTCCCATTCCACAGGCACTGTATTCCCAAAAAGTATAACTGAGATGTATTCTTTTTCAATCCAGTCTTGACTATGGGTGGTTTTTGTAAAAAACAAAAAACAAAAAAAAAAAAAAAAAATTACAGTATAACCCTCGGTTTACCTGACTAACAGGGATGAATGTGTGGCCAATGACAACTGTAATGGATAGAGATGAGATTGTTTTGACATAACTAATAATACACAATTCTGTAACCACAGGACATTTTTGTCCTGTACTTCCAAAATCCATTAAATTGAGGTGTGTTCAACTAAGGGTTTATTGTATTTGAATTTGAATACTACTACAAAACACTGTAAATGATAAGGGTTGACTAACAACTTGAATACATTAATACAGTAGGGCACTTTACAGCGTTTCTCCAATACAGTGATTTCAAATTATGACCAAAATTTGCTATACGGCGAGCGGTCTTTCAAATATGGTGCACCCCACCCAACACAATTCCTAACGTACGCCAGAAACAGACCTCTCTGGAAAACTTTTTGAGCGACAGGGGTCCAGTGGCTCTCAAGCTGGTCCTAGTGGCATTAAAAAACAGAGGTAAGTAACCCAGGATAAGGACTTGGTACCTGAAGTCTTTATGGAGTGGGATTCCCCTTCCAAACAATTGTAAACTCCTCCATCCTCTCCCCTCCTCCCATCTTCCATACATCACCATGTCTTCAATAAAGGTAAGTGTGATGTTGTTATTGTTTTATTCTTCATGTACGTTGTTTTCTGTGTAGGGAAATGTATATTTCACGTAAAAAAATTTTTTTTTGTTTAATACTTTTGGATGTCTGAAACGGATTAATTGGATTTTCATTATTTCTTATGGGGAAAATTAATTCGGATAATGATAAAATCAGTTAAGGACAAGCTCTCTGGAACGGATTAATATCATTAACTTAGGGTCCACTGTATTATTTCAGGTCACTTTTTATATTGTATCTTTATATATGCTTCTAAACTGTTGTATCTAGGCACCTCTGCAAAAACAGTGATTGTGTGAGTGAAGTGAGTGTGTTGAATGATGATGGAAGTAGTTTCGTTTTGGGGATTTTCTTTCTTTTTGGGTCACCCTGCCTAGGTAGGAGACAGCCGACTTGTTGAGGGGGGAAAAAAAAAAACGTTCCAGACACCCAAAAATATTAACAAAAAATAGTCGGACTTGAGTCCTGGAAATGGGAAGTACAATGCCTGCACTTTAAAGGAGGGGTTTGGGATATTGGCAGTTTGGAGGGATATGTTGTGTATCTTTATACGTATATGCTTCTAAACTGTTGTATTCTGAGCACCTCTGCAAAAGCAGTGATAATGTGCGAGTGTGGTGAAAGTGTTGAATGATGATGAAAGTATTTTCTTTTTGGGGATTTTCTTTCTTTTTTGGGTCACCCTGCCTCGGTGGGAGACGACTGACTTGTTGAAAAAAAAAAAAAAAAGTTTAAAGATTAATTATAGTTTTACATACACAAAACAATGAGAACTAAATAAAATATATAATTTTTTTTTTTTTTTTTCAACAAGTCGGCCGTCTCCCACCGAGGCAGGGTGACCCAAAAAAGAAAGAAAATCCCCAAAAAGAAAATACTTTCATCATCATTCAACACTTTCACCACACTCGCACATTATCACTGTTTTTGCAGAGGTGCTCAGAATACAACAGTCTAGAAGCATACACATATAAAGATACACAACATATCCCTCCAAACTGCCAATATCCCAAACCCCTCCTTTAAAGTGCAGGCATTGTACTTCCCATTTCCAGGACTCAAGTCAGACTATATGAAAATAACCGATTTCCCTGAATCCCTTCACTAAATATTACCCTGCTCACACTCCAACAGATCATCAGGTCCCAAGTACCATTCGTCTCCATTCACTATCTAACACGCTCATGAACGCTTGCTGGAAGTCCAAGCCCCTTGCCCACAAAACCTCCTTTACCCCCTCTCTCCAACCCTTTCGAGGACGACCCCTACCCCGCCTTCCTTCCCCTATAGATTTATATGCTTTCCATGTCATTCTACTTTGATCCATTCTCTCTAAATGACCAAACAACCTCAACAACCCCTCTTCTGCCCTCTGACTAATGCTTTTATTAACTCCACACCTTCTCCTAATTTCCATACTCCGAATTTTCTGCATAACATTTACACCACACATTGCCCTTAAACAGGACATCTCCACTGCCTCCAACCGTCTCCTCGCTGCTGCACTTACCACCCAAGCTTCACACCCATATAAGAGTGTTGGTACTACTATACTTTCATACATTCCCTTCTTTGCCTCCATAGATAACGTTTTTTGACTCCACATATACCTCAACGCACCACTCACCTTTTTTCCCTCATCAATTCTATGATTAACCTCATCCTTCATAAATCCATCCGCCGACACGTCAACTCCCAAGTATCTGAAAACATTCACTTCTTCCATACTCGTCCTCCCCAATTTGATATCCAATTTTTCTTTATCTAAATCATTTGACACCCTCATCACCTTACTCTTTTCTATGTTCACTTTCAACTTTCTACCTTTACACACATTCCCAAACTCATCCACTAACCTTTGCAATTTTTCTTTAGAATCTCCCATAAGCACAGTATCATCAGCAAAAAGTAACTGTGTCAATTCCCATTTTGAATTTGATTCCCCATAATTTAATCCCACCCCTCTACCAAACACCCTAGCATTTACTTCCTTTACAACCCCATCTATAAATATATTAAACAACCATGGTGACATTACACATCCCTGTCTAAGACCTACTTTTACCGGGAAGTAGTCTCCCTCTCTTCTACACACCCTAACCTGAGCCTCACTATCCTCATAAAAACTCTTTACAGCATTTAATAACTTACCACCTATTCCATATACTTGCAACATCTGCCACATTGCTCCTCTATCCACTCTATCATATGCCTTTTCTAAATCCATAAATGCAATAAAAACTTCCCTATCTTTATCTAAATACTGTTCACATATATGCTTCAATGTAAACACCTGATCTACACATCCCCTACCCACTCTGAAACCTCCTTGCTCATCCGCAATCCTACATTCTGTCTTACCTCTAATTCTTTCAATTATAACCCTACCGTACACTTTTCCTGGTATACTCAGTAAGCTTATTCCTCTATATTTTTTACAGTCTCTTTTGTCCCCTTTCCCTTTATAAAGGGACTATACATGCTCTCCGCCAATCCCTAGGTACCTTCCCCTCTTTCATACATTTATTAAACAAAGTACCAACCACTCCAACACTATATCCCCCCTGCTTTTAACATTTCTGTCATGATCCCATCAGTTCCAGCTGCTTTACCCCCTTTCATTTTACGTAATGCCTCACGTACCTCCCCCACACTTACATTCTGCTCTTCTTCACTCCTAAAAGATGGTATACCTCCCTGACCAGTGCATGAAATTACTGCCTCTGTTTCTTCCTTACATTTAAAAGTTCCTCAAAATATTCTCGCCATCTACCCAATACCTCCATCTCCCCATCTACTAACTCCCCTACTCTGTTTTTAACTGACAAATCCATATTTTCCCTAGGCTTTCTTAACTTGTTTAACTCACTCCAAAATTTTTTCTTATTTTCATTAAAATTTCTTGACAGTGCCTCTCCCACTCTATCATCTGCTCTCCTTTTGCACTCTCTCACCACTCTCTTTACCTTTCTTTTACTCTCCATATACTCTGCTCTTCTTATAACACTTCTGCTTTGTAAAAACCTCTCATAAGCTACCTTTTTCTCTTTTATCACACCCTTTACTTCATCATTCCACCAATCACTCCTCTTTCCTCCTGCCCCCACCCTCCTATAACCACAAACTTCTGCCCCACATTCTAATACTGCATTTTTAAAACTATTCCAACCCTCTTCAACCCCCCCACTACTCATCTTTGCACTAGCCCACCTTTCTGCCAATAGTCGCTTATATCTCACCCAAACTTCCTCCTCCCTTAGGTTATACACTTTCACCTCCCTCTTACTTGTTGTTGCCACCTTCCTCTTTTCCCATCTACCTCTTACTCTAACTGTAGCTACAACTAAATAATGATCCGATATATCAGTTGCCCCTCTATAAACATGTACATCCTGGAGGCTACCCATCAACCTTTTATCCACCAATACATAATCTAATAAACTACTTTCATTACGTGCTACATCATACCTTGTATATTTATTTATCCTCTTTTTCATAAAATATGTATTACTTATTACCAAATTTCTTTCTACACATAGCTCAATTAAAGGCTCCCCATTTACATTTACCCCTGGCACCCCAAATTTACCTACTACTCCCTCCATAACATTTTTACCCACTTTAGCATTGAAATCCCCAACCACCATTACTCTCACACTTGATTCAAAACTCCCCACGCATTCACTCAACATTTCCCAAAATCTCTCTCTCTCCTCTACACTTCTCTCTTCTCCAGGTGCATACACGCTTATTATAACCCACTTTTCACATCCAATCTTTATTTTACTCCACATAATCCTTGAATTAATACATTTATAGTCCCTCTTTTCTTGCCATAGCTTATCCTTCAACATATATAAATATATAAATGAACATTTAAATCACTATTACATACCTTCATCGAAGACTCTTGTTGGCTTATGGAAGACAAGGAGGAGGAAAGAGAGGGAGGACTGATTATTTGGAAGGAGAATCCCTCTCCATAAGGACTTCAGGTATCAAAGCCCTCTCTGGGGTTACTTCCCTCCCTCCCTGCCTGCCTGCCTGCTACACTCCCTGCCTCCCTGCTATGCTCTCTCCCTCCATGCTACACTCCCTGCCTCTCCCCACATCTTCAATTGTTTGTTACAGTAGTACCTAGAGTTACGAACTTAATTCATTCCAGAAGGCTGTTCGAGTGCTGATACCAAACGAATTTGTTCCCATAAGGAATAATGTAAATTAGATTAGTCCGTTTCAGACCCCTAAAAATACACTTGTATAACTGTTCAAGTTGGGAGCTGTTCAAAACTCGAGGTAGCACTGTATCTCTCTCGTTAACATGTTTACCCCCTTTTGCCACATCAGCTTCCTTGACAGGATAGAAGTGATTGTTGATTTGGATTTTCCATACATCCTGGCAAGTTCTAGCACCTGGACACCACTCTCATATTTTTCAATATCTTCTTTCTTAACCCTTTAACTGTCCATACATAGATCTACGTTTGCACTGTTAGTCCTCCAAACATAGCTCTACATTTTTTTTACATTTGAAAGCATGTAAAATGAAACATAGATCTACATTTGGAGCACTAGCGGTGCAAACACAGATCTACATGTGGACAGTTTAAGGGTTAAATTCCATTGCTTCTCACTTTCTTTACCAAAAGAACTTTACTGGGAACTCTCTCTAGGCCCATGGTGGCTTATTTCAGTCACACTTAATAAACAAGCACAAAAACCAATGGATTTTAAGGAAATGTTTGGATGAATGCACGAAGTATATGCTCATTCACTGGGAGACACGGGGAGACTGATTCACCTATGCAGTGGCTTCCTGGCAGGAGGCGGGCTGACGCATATAATATGGCCGATTTGCAAGGCACCAGCCGAAATATGGAGCAAAATTTCGGCCCAAAAACCGGCCAAAATACGATTTGGCCAATAAACGCAGTGGCCAATATTCAGGGTCCCACTGTATTTAGGTATGCATACTGGTCAGAGAGCCTGTCATAAGTCCAAGTTGTCAATAAACAAGTACATCGCTAAGTGAGGAGAGGCTGTATTTCTTAAATATTAAAATGTAAAGAGGAATGATTGGGCATGGTTTAGAGCATCCCAATAATTGAATCTGATCTATTAAAAACCCATAAAACAGACTAGGGGTTTAGGGAGTCTTTCCTGCCCTCAGGAATATCGGCAAAAATTTAATATTTTCATACTTTGAGCTCGATGTCAAGCTGCTACTGGTACAGACACCAATCAAAATCATATCTATTTCAGTAGTATGTCTGCCATTCCATCAAATGATAACAAAAAACACACAATAAAACCACAAAAACAATGTGAGAAGAAACTTCAGTCACTATTTTAAACCATACATGCGGCCATGGTATTGTTTTTCCCATCATGCACTGCGTGGGGCTGGGGTTTTTTTACACTTTACACTCACAACAAATAAATTCTTTCATGTTTAGCCCAAAATTTACCACTCACAGTATGTCAGTGAGCAGAGCTCATGATGTTAAACTACACAAGGGACCCTGGCCTCAATGACTTCTACATGACAGCCACTGAAAGGGTTAATAGCACATTCATTAAAAACTTGTCTTCATCCATTCTTACCTAACATGCTTGTTCAAGCTTCTAAAACTCAAAACCTCCTTTGCCTCCTCCCAACTATTCCTGGGAGAACCCCTACCCTCTGTCCATCCACCCCTGGGTAAAATCCCTACCCTCTATTCCAGATTTATACATGCTCTTCATCATCCTATCCTATTCATCCTCAAACCACCTCATGTAGTTGTATTCAAAACATTACCTGACTCTAAATTAAGTACAGTTTTAAAGTATATATCTGACCACTTATTATATTCATGGGAAAAGTACTAAACCCATAGGAGTCACACAGTGCCTTATGAAATGGGAAGCAATAAAGTTAAGTCCAGAGACAGGAAAATCAGGTCTAACTTCCTAGATCAAGGGACTCCTTACTGGCATCAAGAAACCTTTCTTGATGGATTGATCACCACAAGATTTTTCAAAATATTTTTCAAGTAAACCTGTGCAATAGTTTTGTTTCAATATAAAATATTAAACCTTACCCATAAATCTTCATTAACTAGATAAGAATCCAAATAATTTACAACATTTGGGTGTTTATTTTCTTTCATAACCAAAATTTCATTAATAATAAGTTCCTTCTTTGGTTGTTGAGAGAGATTCATTTGTTTGATTGCTACCTCCACACCCGTTGCAGTTTCAATTGCTGTGTAAACCGTCCCAGATGCTCTGCAAAAATACAAATACATTAAAACATAAGAGTACCATCCACTGGGCTTTGAAATTATTTTTAATCTTCATTTATACCATAATAAGCACATGCAGTCTTGAGTACTGTATTGGAATGGAGAATTATATACAATAATACACTACTTTAACCCGTAAACGGTCCAAGCAGATCTACGTTCACATGAGTAGTGCTACAAAAGTAGATCTACTTTTTTTACATTCAAATGCTGAAAAAACGTATATATACGTTTGGACCGTTTATGGGTTAAAGGTCAAATTACAGCTGACATGCAATATTAACTACCCTTTAGGTGGTTGTTCACTGCTGAGTTAAAATCTTTAAAAGTTATTGATGTCACTGAAACTTTTGTAGAGTATCATTGCTATTGGTATTTGCAATTTTATTTTTAACACATGGCCATCTTCCATCAAGGTTAGGTGATATCTCCCCCTCCCTCTCAACAAAGAAATGCATTCAAAATAATTCACTCAATTGCTGTCTTGCCAAAAATGCAAATGCAAAGACATCACAATTTGAATGACCCTCTAAACTGCAACACCTCCAGCCTGCCTTTGGAGTGCTGGTACTGGACTTCTCACTTTCAACATTTAAATCAGTCTAACTGGTTCTCATGAATACCTTGATAAATGTTACCAGTACATCAAATATAAATAAAATTTAAATCCTACCCAAGTGACACCTAACATTTTATTCAACCCATCTTCATTCTTAACAGTCCGTTGCTCTCGTAAATAGGAATTACAACAGATATAATGCTATAGGAGGGTGGGTGCAGTAGGAAAGAGGAGTGATTGGTGGAATGTTGAAGTAAAGGGTGTGATAAAAAAGAAAAAGGTAGCTTATGAGAGGTTTTTACAAAACAAAAGTGTTAAAATAAGAGTAGAGTATATGGAGAGTAAAAGCAAGGTGAAGAAAGTGGTGAGAGAGTGCAAAAGGAGAGATGATGATAGAGGCACTGTCAAGAAATTTTGCAGAAAATAAGAAAAAATTTTGGAGTGAGATAAACAAGTTAAGAAAGCCTAGGGAACAAATGGATTTGTCAGTTAAAAACAGAGTAGGGGAGTTAGTAAATGGGGAGCTGGAGGTATTGGGTAGATGGCAGGAATATTTTGAGGAACTTTTAAATGTCGCTGAAGAAAGGGAGGTGGTGATTTCATGCACTGGCCAGGGAGTGAAGAAGCGCAGGATGTTAGTGTGGGGGAGGTGCGTGAGGCATTACGTAGAATGAAAGGGGGTAAAACAGCTGGGACTGAAGGGATCATGACAGAAATGTTAAAAAGCAGGGGGGGATATAGTGTTGGAGTGGTTGGTATTTTTGTTTAATAAATGTATGAAAGAGGGGAAGGTACCTAGGGATTGGACGAGAGCATGTATAGTTCCTTTATATAAAGGGAAGGGGGACAAAAGAGACTAAAAATTATAGGGGAATAAGTTTACTGAGTATACCAGGTAGTGTATGGTAGGATTGCAGATGAGCAAGGAGGCTTTAGAGTGGGTAAGGGATGTGTAGATCAAGTATTTACATTGAAGCATATATGTGAACAGTATTTAGATAAATGTAGGGAAGTTTTCTGTGCATTTATGAATTTAGAAAAGGCATATGATAGTGGATAGGGGAGCAATGTGGCAGATGTTATAAGTCTATGGAATGGGTAACAAGTTACTGAATGCTGTAAAGAGGTTTTATGAGGATAGTGAGGCTCAGGTTAGGGTGTGTAGGAGAGAAGGGGATTACTTCCCAGTAAAAGTAGGTCTTAGACATGGATGTGTAATGTCACCATGATTGTTTAATATATTTATAGATGGGGTTGTAAAAGAAGTAAATGCTAGGGTGTTGGGGAGAGGGTTGGGATTAAATTATAGGGAATCAAGTATAAAATGGGAGATGACAGTTACTTTTTGCTGATGATACTGTACTTATGGGAGACTCTAAAGGAAAGTTGCAAAGGTCAGTGGACGAGTTTGGGAGGGTGTGTAAAGGTAGAAAGTTGAAAGTGAACATAGATAAGAGTAAGGTGATGAGGGTATCAACAATTTAGATAAAGAAAAATTGGATGTCACATTGGAGAGAGGGAGTATGGAAGAAGTGAATCTTTTCAGATGTTTGGGAGTTGATGTGTCAGCAGATGGGTTTATGAAGGATGAGGTTAATCATAGAATTGATGATGGAAAAAAGGTGAGTGGTGCGTTGAGGTATTTGTGGAGACAAAAAAAACGTTATCAATGGAGGCAAAGAAGGGAATGTATGCAAGTATAGTGGTACCAACACACTTATATGGGTGTGAAGCTTGGGTTGTAAATGCTGCAGTGAGGTAGTAGCTGGAGGCAGTGGAGACGTCCTGTCTAAGGGCAATGCGTGGTGTAAATATTATGCAGAGAATTCAGAGTGTGGAAATTAGAAGGTGTGGAGTTAATAAAAGTATTAGTCAAGAGGGCTGAAGAGGGGTTGTTGAGGTGGTTTGGTCATTTAGAGAGAATGGATCAAAGTAGAATGACTTGAAGAGCGTATAAATCTGTAGGGGAAGGAAGGCTGGGTAGGGGTCTTCCTCAAAAAGGCTGGAAGGATCGGGAAAAGGAGGTTTTGTGGGTGAGGGGGCTTGGACTTCCAGCACTTTAACCCCTAAACAGTCCAAACGTATATATACGTTCTCTCCCCCAGTGCCCCGAATATTTTGAAAAATAAAATCTTTTTTTTTTTTTTTTCATTGAAATAAAGAATTTTTTTTTAAGTGTTATAGGATTAAAATAAAATAATTAGGGTCAGTACTTACTGCGATATGAGGCTGCAAAGTTGGCACTTAATGCTCACCTGACGGCAACATCGAGTCCTGCCACTTGCAAAAGTGTTGCCAATATACCAGTTTTTCTCATTTTTATATTATTTTATATAATTTTTATATTCTGATAATTACAATTTATTGTAGTTCTTGTCATTTCATAACTAATCTTTGTTCTGACACTAATATTAGGTACTGAAATTATACTCAAATTGTCACAAACACATTGACAGGTGCCAATCATGCCAAATTTGGAGGCAGGAAAAATAAAACGTATATATACATTTGGGGCACTAGCAGAAAGAACGTATATATACGTTTGGACCATTCAGGGGTTAAAGGAGTGGTTTGGGATACTGGCTGTTTGGAGGGATATGTTATATATCTTTATACATATTACATATGCTTCTAAACTGTTGTATCTGGGAGCCTCTGCAAAAAAAGTGATTATGTATGAGGGAGGTGAAAGTGTTGAATGATGATTAAAGTATTTTTTCTTTCTTTTGGGTCACCCTAGCTCGGTGGGAGATGGCCAACTTGTTAAAAAAAAAAAAAAAAAAAAAATAAATGCAAGATGTCAACTGTTTTTCCAGACATATAATAATGCAATTAGTTTTTTCCATAATTTTCCTATAATTTTTCAATGAATGTTATTTAGGTGATCAATTCAAGATGAACATTTTAAAAAAGTACAACTAATAAAACAGCAGATGATAAGTTGAAAACTGCATTTAGGTATACATGTTACACATGCCGAATGACTGTATGGTGTTGGTGGTGGTGGTGATTGCATTTTTAAATTGTCAGTCTGTATATGTATATTGGTATGACTGCTAATAATTATATGAACAGTTTCTTTATCACAATAATCAACATTACACAAATAACCCGCACATAGAAGAGAGGAGCTTACGACGACGTTTCGGTCACACTGTGACTTTGTAAATGGTCCAAGTCGGACCGAAACATCATCGTAAGCTCCTCTCTTCTGTGTGCGGGTTATTTGTGTGTTGTTCCAGTCACGGTATTGTGCCTTTTTTGGTTATTTAATCAACATTATACAGATCTGATATGCACAAATAGCTAATACAGGTCCACAACTCTCGAGGCCGGTTTTGTTTCGAATTTCAGAATTTTTCAAAGTTCAGAATGACTGTCAACGCTTCCACATGGCAACGTGACCCAGCACTGAGAGGACTGATGCTCCACACTCCACGAAAAGCCTTCAGTTTTTGGAACTCTTCCAATTTCAGAATTTCAGATAAATTGTTGTGGACCTGTATGTTAATGTGTTTTTTCGTTGGTTGACAGTACACTCAGGCCCGCAAATTTGCAAGGGATTATTTCCTAGAGGTTCTACAAATCTACACTCTGTGAATAAGAAAAATTATATCTGCATAATGAATTTTGTTTCAAATTATTAGGCTCATTTTGTATTTCAAAAACCCTGTTAATTTTATATGTCACTCTAATCTGGTTAATACTGGCATTCATAAGAAAGAATGATCACAAAAAGAGAGAGAGATATTTGGGCAAGGGAAAGTCACTGAAGATATTTTAAAAGAAATCATAAGTGTAGTTTTCAATATAGGGATCATGTGCAAAGCCCCCCCAAAAATGGGCACAATGAAAAAAAAAATTCTAATTAGGATGCTATCAATGAATTATAAGTGTAATTTATATGGGTTATACAGTGCATGGACAATGGGAAGTAATCAGGTTCAATCCAAGGACACTGAGGATAGGTCCAATTCCTTGGATCAATATCGTCCCACACCAGCAACAAGGCAATCTGAGGTGGACCAACTGTGCTACACAGTTTTACTTACACATGAGCTTCTATACCAGTTATTTTACCAATTAAATTACCCAACATTTTTCTGGCTATGGATTTCCCATGCTCAAATCTCTCATTATTTCTTATGAACCTTAATATTAAGACTGGAGTGATAGTCTCCAAGACACAATATAAACCTAAATTTGAAAAAATTTGTTCTACAAACTTAATATCATATTATTCACTGTTTCAAGTTTCACAGGAACTCTAGGAGTGTAGCATAACCCATGTAATTTGTAGGCACAACTAAAGTAATAAATTTTTTAAATATTATTCATATACATATTGGCTATTTGCGAACATCGGACTTATGGCCCTTTGAACTTCAACATCCCCAACTTTCCTCCAAATTGCAGGCACTAATTTTATTATATATATTTTTTTTCATCACGTTTCCCACCGAGGTAAGACGACCCAAAAAGAAGGAAAAAATTTTCATCATTCAACACTTTCACTGTCACTCATACATAATCACTGTCTTTGCAGAGGCGCTCAGATACGACAGTTTAGACGTCCCTCCAAACTAACAATATCCCAAACCTCTCCTTTAAAGTGCAGTCACTGTACCTCCCACCTCTAGAATTTAAGTCTGGTTAACTGGTTTCCCTGAATCCCCTTCACAAAATATTACCCTCCTCACACTCCAACAGCTCATCAAGTCCCAAAAATCACTTGTCTCCATTCACGCCTAACACACTCACAAATGCCTGCTATATGTCCAATCCCCTTGCATACAAAACCTCTTTCATCCCCTCCCTCCCTCCTCCCCTCCACTGCAGATTCATACACCCTCCATGTCATCCTATTTTGCTCCACCCTCTCTAAATGACCAAACCACCTCAACAACCCCTCCTCAGCCCTCTGAATAATACTTTTAGTAACTCCACACCACCTGCTAATTTCCACACTACAAATTCTCTGCTTAATATTTACACCACACATTGCCCTTAGACACGACATCTCCACTGCCTCCGGCCTCCTCCTCGCTGCATCATTTACAACCCATGCTTCATACCCATATAAGAGTGTTGGTACCACTATACTCTCATACATTCCCTTCCTTTCCTCCATGGATAACATTCCTTGTCTCCACTAATATCTCAATGTACCACCCACCCTTTTTCCTTCATCAATTCTATGGCTGGACAAATAAAATACATAACACCATAATCACAAATTTTCAGTGCCCCCATTAACCCTTTTACTGTTGAGACCTTTGCTCACAAACTTCCTCTCAGTGTCAAAAAAAAAATGTTAAGAATATTTTTCTGATTGTTTTAACAGTTTCCTTTTTTTTTTTTTTTTTTTTTTGCGATCAGTACTTACCAAGATATAGAAGCATGAAACTGACACAAAGCGTGGATAAGCGTGTTAGACAGGAGTGAATGGAGACGAATGGTATTTGGGACCTGACAAGGTGTTGGAGTGTGAGCAGGGTAATATTTAGTGAAGGGATTCAGGGAAACCAGTTATTTTCATATAGCCGGACTTAAGTCCTGGAAATGGGATGTACAATGCCTGCACTTTAAAGGAGGGGTTTGGGCTACTGGCAGTTTGGAGGGATATGTTGTGTATCTTTATACGTATATGCTTCTAAACTGTTGTATTCTGAGCACCTCTGCAAAAACGGTGATTATGTGTGAGTGAGATGAAAGTGTCGAATGATGATGAAAGTATTTTCTTTTTGGGGATTTTCTTTCTTTTTTGGGTCACCCTGCCTCAGTGGGAGATGGCCGACTTGTTGAAAAAAAAAAAGTATATATATCAACTCGTTCTTTGCAACACAACCGCACATTATCATTATATTGTTTACAGAACCTGTTTACACAAACCCACGATGCTGTCCCCCCACCAATCATGCTGTCTTCTCCATCACCCACATGGAAATAAGTCACATTGTCTGACTTTTATGGGTTATCCTAGGTAACCTACACACATGCTGCTATGTTGTTTACACAAACCCACGCTGCCTTCCCCACCACCCACATGGAAATAAGTCACTTTGTTTGACTTTTTTTAGGTTATCCTAGGTAATCTACACATATGCTGCTATGTATGATAATCTGCATAACTGTATTTGTGTATACCTGAATAAACTTACTTGTTCTTTGAGATATGGGAAAATATGAGTGTCCTCTTTTGCTGTGGTACAAGTGAACATGAATGGGATGGCCCAACACCAGAGGTGGGTTTTCGGCACTATTTATGGTATCCTGGGCATTGCTTTCGGTCACAAACTCCTCAACCATGAGATTCATCTTCACTGACACTTCAATCTGTGTTAGAACTACATGTATCACTTGGGAAGGGAAGAGTCCCAATTCGCCAGGGAGTGAGGTATTCCTTACTGCTAGGCTTGGTGACCAAGGCGTATTGAATTAGCACTCCCGCAATGCACTGTGGCCTCCCCGATTTTTTTTATATTGCGCACACTGACCATGCAGACCCATTCTCTCACATGTAGGTCTACCAGCTTTCTCCCACTAGATTTGAAGCCGCTAGAATTTTGGCGTAGTACATACTAGCTTAAAGTAACAAACACAAGAGCTTCAATTTGTCACTCACCCCTGGCCAATCTTTTCCATTTTTGTATATTTGCGATTGGGATCTCCAACAGATACTATACTTCTTAATCGTTCTAAAATTTCTTCATCACTCATTTTTTTCTTTTTCTGTTTCTCTGCTGTCCGTTCTATTGCTGTACTTGCACTGTAACAAAGAGGTGCACAAATTAGCAATGTTTTCATGTAGGCATATATTCTACTTAACACTATATTATAAGAACTAACTAAATCATATGAACAGTTAAATGTGTGATTTTGTGTAAAATAAATTCACTTTAAGAGTGTGCAAAGGCCTAACATATATCAAATGATACAGATATAACTGGATATATTACTAGGATCACTGTATTTAATTATACTATGTTTGTAACAAAAAGAAAGCACATTATAAGGAAGAATAGCTAAAATATAATAATAAAGTTCATGAGAAATTAAATTTCTCATGAAGACATTGAAGTTGCTGAAAATTATGGTGCTTTTCCATGTCTGAAGCTCAAGAATCACTTTTAACCCTCTGACTGTCACGGCCGTATATATACGTCTTACGAGGCACCGTGTTTGACGTATATATACTCATAAATTCTAGCGGCTTCAAATCAAGGAGAAAGCTGGTAGGCCCACATGTGAGATAATGGGTCTGTGTGGTCAGTGTGCACCACATAAAAAAAATCCTGGAGCACGCAGTGCATAATGAGAAAAAAAAAAAACTCCGACAGTTTTTTTAATTAAAATTCCGACTTTGTGGTCTATTTTCGTATAGTATTTATGGTTGTTTTCTCGTTTTCTTGGTCTCATTTGATAGAATGGAAAACATGTTATAGAAAAAGGGATGATTTTGATTGATTTTACTATAAAAAGAACCTGGAAATGGAGCTCAAAGTAGGGGAAATGTTTGATTTTTGCCAATGTTCAAAAGTAAACAAATGACATCATTGTCTAATAAATGTCCAACTAGCCATTCTAATATGCAGTCATGAATGGGTTGATGTTATTTATACAATTATTACAGTATTGGAGTAGTCTGCATAATAGTAAATCTCTATTTTTTGTTTGAATAAAAATTCAAAATAGAAAGCAAGAGTAATATCAGAGGGGCCTGGAGACATGATTGATGAATAAAGAAAATGTTATTTTAGAGCCAGGAATGTCTGCATTGTTCATTCTGGACCTTATTTTGAAATTGTCATATTTTTCAATTTTCGTGAAATTGGCCAAATTGCAAATTTCTGACCACGTTACTGGGTAGTTGAAATTGGTAAATGGGCAGTTTCTTGTACTCAATCAATAGAAAAAACGGAGTTCTAAAGAAATAGCTATGAGTTTGGTCGACTGGAACAACGGAATTAGCTAAAAATGGGGCGCAAAGTGGGTGAAATAGCCGATTTGTAAATATCGCCAAGGTCGCTAACTTCGCGAGAGCGTAATTGTCAGTTTTTCATCAAATTTCGTTTTTTTGGGTCATTACAATTGCGAAAAGATTCTCTATCATTTAATAAGAATTTTTTTTTTTTTTTTTTAAATTTTGCAACACCAGGAGACACCTCAAGTCAAGGGGTTAAAGCATGATTATACAGCATTTCACCCCCCCACACACCACACACTAAAACCACTATAGTCACTTGATTAACACATGCCAGTGTTAATGTTGCACTTTTACGAGGCAAGAGTTCTTATGGATAATCACACACGCTAGTCTATTGTAACAAAATGGAAGGGTGCAGGATGTGCATTCATTGGCTAAAATCTCATGAATACCTGGTAGCAATAACTTTTTACAAATATAATCCATTTCTGAGATCTTTTATTTGTCAGTCCATCTTGCATATTTATCAATACTGCATCCTATACCTGTGTAATAAGACACTACTTACATTCATAATTTCCCAGAGTACTCCCTGGATGCGATGTGGAAAAAATTAGAGTATAATAAAATACTGCATAAAAAGTTAAATATGCTTAGTCAAGACTGAAAGGCAAATGGAATTTATGGTATATCTCTGCAGAAGCTTGCATCTTTTACCACTGATGACACCTCAGGTGTCTTATCAGTGGTAAAAGGTTTCTGAAATCCAAGAATGGGCATTATGACCACTTCATTTTAAGTTTTGCATAATGGATTTTGTTTAACCCTTTAACTTTGTCAGACGTACTGGTATGCAGGTGCTGGTACTGTGTATGACGTACTAGTTGCAGATGCTGGTACTAATACGCACCATTTTTCATACCCACAAATCTGCCATCTACCAACAATTTTTACCTCTGGACAACTCTCTGCATTTTCCATCTATTCATACATTTGAAAAAATCTAAGACCAGCAGGGTACACACAATTAATCATGGTTTAATACCCAGGGGATGACTGTGCCATCCTCACTAGCAAAAGTGAACAAAGAAACCAGCTGTTGTTCCACCACCAGTTTCTCTACCAGCAAACAGTGTGTGTGCAAGTGGCTCAAAGATGACTCATTCAGTCCAAATTTATTAGTTTTATGATACTAACAGTGGAATTCAGCCACAAAACACACTAGGTATATTTAACCCAGTAAAGTAAAAAATGTGAATAATTTCCACGTTTTGATTAATATTATACAGCAGACTCCTGGTTTTCATAATCCATTCCAGAAGGTTGGCCTAAATCCAAAATGGCTGAAAACTGAAGTAATATTTCTCATAAGAAATAATGTAAATCCAATTAATCCATTCCAGACACCCAAAAATATTCACAAAAAAATTAATCTTTTAAAGAATAGTTTTACATACAGAAAATAATGATAAATAAATATAAAGCACTAATTTTAATGTTAAACGTTACATACCTTTATAGAAGAGACTTGCTGGCATATGGAAGAAGGCGAGGAGGGGAGAGGGAGGAGAGTTTGTTTGGAAGGGGAATACCCCTCCATAAGGACTTCAGGTATCAAAGCCCTCTCTGGGGTTACTTCCCTTTGTCTTTAATGCCACTAGGACCAGCTTAAGAGTCACTGTACCCCTGTCGCACAAAAAATCTGTCCAGAGAGACCTGTTTCTGGCGTCTCTAAGATTTGCCTAAAATGGGATAAGACAATGTCATTGAACATGTTGCAGACAGCTTGCAACAGTTCTGTTAGGGTGATAATTCTCAAAACTTTGCACCTCACTCCACTTTGCACAAATGTCCTTAATTGCTGAAGAAGGCACATTTTTCCCCTCTCTTCCTCCTCTGAAGAAACATCCTCAGCTGAGGTCTGTTGCTGCTCCAGTTGAAGGTCTTGCAGCTCTTCAGTGGTTAGCTCTCCCTGTGGTCCTCCACCAACTCTTCCACACCCTCACCACTTACATCCAACCCCATGGACTTCCCCAAAGCCACAACAGATTCCACAACAGGCATAGGGTTGTCAGGGTCAGTCTCAAAGCCTTCAAAATCCTTCTCTTGGACACATTCTGGCCACAGTTTTCTCCAAGCAGAGTTCATTGTCCTGGAAGTCACTCTCTGCCAAGTCTGATCTATAAGGCTTATGCAATTGAGGATAATGAAGTGATTAATTCTCTTAGGGTCAATTCAGTGTACGAGGTTACTTTAAAGCACTTTTGAAATATTGCTTTGGTGTAGTTTTTGAAGTTTAAAATGACCTGCTGGTCCCTGGGCTGGATGAGAGGAGTGGTACTAGGGGGCAAGAACTTCACTGAGATGAAATTACACTCCTCAAACAATAGGTCTTCCAAATCTGGAGGACGAGCAGGAACATTGTCCATTACCAGGAGGCACTTTAGTTGCAAATTATTTTCCAGGAGGTATTTCTTCATACTCGGGCCAAACACTTCATCGACCCACTCAATGAAAATTAGCCTCATGACCCATGACTTATTGTTAGCCTTCCACATCACACACACTCAACTCTTCATGACACTGTTTTTCTTGAACACTCGAGGATTTTCAGAGTGATACACAAGTAAAGGCTTCACTTTGAAATCCCCATTAGCATTACCACAGAACAAAGGAGCTAGCCTATCCTTCATAGTCTTGTGTCCTGGCAGTGCCTTTTCTTCCTGTGTGATGTAGGTCCTCTTTGGCATTTTCTTCCAAAAGAAGCCTGTTTCGTCACTACTAAACACTTGTTGGGGAGGAATCCTTCAGCCTCTACGTACCCCTTGAATTCATCAACAAATGCTTCAGCAGCATGTTTGTCAGAACTTGCAGCCTCGCCATGCCTTACCACACTGTGTATGCCATTTCGCTTCTTGAATCTGTCAAACCAGCCTTTGCTGGCCTTAAATTCACTAACAGCAGCACTAATTCCCGGAATTTTCTTTGAGATCCACATGCAACTGCCATGCCTTCTCGCAAATTATCCCCTCCAAAACACTATCTCCCGCTAATTGTTTCTCGATCCACACCAACAACAGCTTCACATCCTCGATTGTTTGTGACCTCTATTTCGTTAGCATATTTACCCCTTTCGCAACATCAGCTTCCTTGATTTCTGCTTTCTTCAACAGGATGGAACTGATTGTTGATGTAGATTTCCCATACATCCTAGCGAGCTCCACCACACATACGCCACTTTCATATTTTGCTATAACGTCTTTCTTGAATTCTATAATGTTTCTGACCTTCTTTATCAAAGGGTTGGCACTCTGAACTTTCTTTGGCCCCATGGTGGCTTATTTCAGTCAATAAACAACAGAAGCACAAAAACAATAAAGAAGCACAAAAATAATAAAGAAGCACAATAACAATAAAGAAGCACTAAAAAATAAAGAAAAAAAAATGGATGAATGCACAGAGTATTCCTAACTCAAAAGAGAAAGATGCAGAATGAGTGTGATATGCGTGAGGTAGTGGTGTCGTGGGCTGGTGGACGCGTCTCATACCAACAATTTCTGAGCAGATCAATGAAATCCAGGGAAAATTTTGCCAAAAAAAGTGCTCTATTTCCGAATTGCACCATTTCCGCACCAGCCGAAAACCAGGGGTCCACTGTACTCTAAAATAATTGCAATATTTTAAATATTCATTATACATAGCCTTAGACCAAAATAGTAAAAAGAAAAGAAAAAGCAATTATACCGTATATACAGTGGACCCCCGGTTTCGGCCGGTGCGGAAATCATACAATTCAAATTTCAAGCACTTTTTTCAGCAAAATTTCCCCCAGGTTTCGTACATCTGCTTAGAAATCGTTGGGGCCACTCATACATTCGTGACTCACTCTTGGGCACATTAAAT